TTTGTAAGCCTCCTTCCTAAAATGTGGTGCCCTGGAGTGGATAGTCTAGGCATGATCTCACCAATGCAGAACAGAGAGGAACAAATGACTTTACCTTCAACATATTGCTATACTTTCGTTCTTATTTTCTTCTTGCCTGCCTGCCTGTATCATTCTGTAGGTTCAGATTCATCTTATATTGCACAAAGACATCTAAAACCTTTTCCTAATGTATTGGCTTCCTCCATCCTATATTTTTTTTTCTGCCCCAATTAAGGACTTTGCATTTGTCCAGTTGAAATTTGACGTTTCAAGATCCCTTTGAATCCTGGCAAATTTCAACTCTTAGTGTTTTATAAATTAATGGAAATAGCATGTATCTTTTGTGAATGAGTCAAATGAGATCCCATCTCCTTCTTATTTTTCCCCACCAAAGACACTTGGAGAAGCAGATAATAATAATAATAATAATAATAATAATAATAATAATAATAATAATAATAATAATAATAATAATAATAATAATAATAATAATAATAATTTAATTTATATACCGCCCTTCTCCCGGAGGACTCAGGGCGGTGCACAGCATATTAAAACAAATACAAATACAAAATACAAAAAACAGATGAAAGGTTGGTGCTTCCATCCAACAGTGTCGGAATTGCCAGATTCAGGTAGATCACGGGTGTCAAACTCGATCATGTCACATGACGTATCATGACGTATCGTGACATTTTTTGCCTTTGCAGAGCCAGGGTGGGCGTGGCCTGCACGTGACACATCTGGCTCAGGGGCTGCCAGTTTGACACCCCTGAGGTAGATCATAGAAATAGATTTCTGATCTCTTGTGTTGCCTTCCATGTCATTGGCTTTGTGGTCTATAAACAAAGTTGCTATGACTCACTTTTCAGCAAACCAAATCATTTCAGGAAGATATGCTAACTGTAAATATTTGAAAGAAATAAAACAGGGTTTTATCTATCAATTATCTATCAATGTCAACTTTTCTGACATCATTATTTTTTCTTTGTTCGGTATTTGGCTCTATTATTCAATATTCTGCATTTTATGTAATATTTAATTGAATAATTTTGTATGCTACGATAATTTAGTCTTTTTGAAGATAAATAAATTATGCAGTTATTTGAACTTATTGTTACAAATAATAGCTTTTGTGTTAAATCAGTATAGACAAGATGAAGGCTGTAATATTTTACCTAAATATTACTGAATTACGTTGTATTTACTTCTTAGCAGACATTCATCAATTATAATATTATGTGACTTTATGGTTCAGTTGAGCTTGAGATAAACTGTGTGAACTATTCATAGGTGTGGAGGAATTTAGTGTAGGAGGATGAAGAAGAACCATAGCATATGGATGAAATAATTATCAAGTTCCACTGGTGTATGCCATCTGAAAAAAAGCCAAAATTGGGGTCATTAATAAACTATAGGATGGTATCAGCATTCTTGGACAACTCTTAGTGATGCTCAGAGTCACTGTAATAGAAGGTTTAATTGCATGGAGTGTAGGGGCATTGCATAAGAGACAGTTTCAAGCAGAGGTATCCCAACAAGCTGCTGTTTTTTATCAGATTCCTAAGAGAATTCTTAGCGCTTTGGTTTTCCTACATGTGCAAACACAGATTTCTGCTTCCTCTGTATATTTCTAAAACAAACTTATTTCCTGTTATTGTAGATGCACACATTCCTCTTACTCTGATTTGGAGGATAAATAAAATTGAATTATATGCATCATGTCCATTGCAAATATATTGCAATACCTTTTTATACAATATGTTTAACCTGGCTGCAATTGTATATATTGATTTGAGTTCACACAATGTGTTGAGCCACAAAAATCCTAAGATTAACAATGATCCTAACTAAGATTAATAATAAGTAGCTTTAGTATGTACATTCACTAGATTTTCAACTGACCTGGTTAATTGTGTTTTATGAACACAGCCTGTGATACTGAATATTAGCTGAATATTAAAAGGCACTACCTCAGGTCACTTATAACTCAGCTTATAATTTGAGTACTGTATTTTGTAAATTAAAAAAAAAGATAAAAGTATTTAATGTGTGGCCCTCCTACAATTTCCTTTGGTACTGACTGCACTGCTACAATTGCTGCTGCTACTAATACTAATTATATCTGGTTACAGTGAATTGTATCTCTACAGAACAGCATAGCAGTGCTTTTATGTGGCATCTTCTCCATCCAAATATTGGGAGAAGGAAGCCAAACAAGAAACTGCAAGCAATTTTCATAAATCTTTGCAGCTAAAATTGATCATATTCATCTCAGGTTTGACAATGCTAAACTGGTTATCTGCACCTCATTTCAATTAGGGTTTTCCGAGAATGTGATACTGAGAATTATTTGGTTGTTTGTATTATGTCCAAAACTGGATAGGTTTTTTTTTCATAGAAATGACCAACAGGACTTTCTGGATTATTTGATGCAAATGAGGTTTGAGTGCACTATTTTGCAGTAGTTTTGATTCTTTCAGTCAGGACATGTTGTAAAAGTATTGCGGGAATACTGCTGATTGACTCTAGGTCAATATGCTGGTGATAGCCAACTCTACTGCTCCTTGTTGCCCAACTGCAAGGAAGCAATCACTATCCTCCTAATTAATACTCAGAAACAGTTATAGTACAGACCATACAGTTCTTGAAAGGGTGTTATAAATTAACGTACTCAACCTTTTCGACAAAACGAAAACGGATTAAGGGAAACTAAAACTACGATTTTATAGGGCAATTTAACATAGGTCTCGGTCAAACCACATCACCAATCCCGTTGTCCAATTTTGACACCCTCTGGCCCTCAAGATGTCCTGCCTTAGGCACAAAGTCAACTGGGTGACCTTGGGCCAGTTACTATCTCAGCTTTAGGAAGCAGGCAACAGCAAGCCACTTCTAGAATCTTGTCAAGAAAACTGTAAGGACTTGTTCAGGCAGTTGCAAGAAGTCAATACTGACTCAAAGGCATGCGTGTGATCCACTTCATTTAAAATGGAGATTCATGCAGCTACATGGTTAATATCCTCTGGCAATTTTATTAAAACACTGAAATCACCAGATAGGAAATTCTACAAACTGAACACTAGTTTGTTTTGAATGACCTGAATCTAGTCCTAATCATTTTCATTGTATAAACCTTCCATACTAACATCATGGGAGAAAGAGAGGAGGGTTTGTGTGAATGTGTGTGTGTGGGGGGGGACTTCAAGTCAGTGTCAGTCCTGGCAACTGCCTAGAGAGTAATCCCTACAGTTTTCTTGGCATTATTTATTTAGGGTTGAGAAGTCTACCTCTCAACCAGTCCATTTTCTCTATCCTCGGAATAATCCTATAATTATTTCTGACTTAATTTTATTGTAATTCTAAACTAAAGCTTATATACTCCACCTTCATCTCTTTTTCCCTGCTAGACATAAGAAAGGGATCAGTGTTTTTCAGTTCCATTTTAAGCTAACTGTACAGCAATCTGTTATGCTCACGCATAGATCTGTGCTTAATATTAACTATGGTTTATGAAAACAAGGTAGCTTAGAAATCACACTTTGAACTTAGAATGTTTCCCTAACCTTTTTTTCCTGTTGAAACTTGAATGATTCTGATTAAAACCTGTTGAGATCTGCATTTCAGCATTGTAGGTACAACCGGGAATGAAAGTGGTTAAAACAAATCTAAAAATGAAACGAGGGGAAATGTGCAAAGTATACAGAATTTGACAATTTGCCTGAAAATACACTAAGATCTGCATTTAATTTTTGGAGTTCAAGATCTCTGATCCTCTTTTAAGCCATAGGTAAGACAAACTGCAGTTTGAGCATAGGCATAATACTCCAAGCAGTTGCAGCTGTGTGAAAAGACAAAGGATAACTTCCAAGCTAGCAATTCATTCACACATAACTCTAAATCCTGGGAGGTGGGCAGAAATTGCTGTAATACCTGGATCATTTTGATTACTTTATTCTCAGTTTGCTTTATATGAAAAGTAAAAGATAAAAGTAAGACGGGAAGAGTAAAAAAAACATATCACATACAAATATATGACCAAGAACAAAATTTTAGGGATGGTATTATCTTGACTTAGTCAGGTGTTTTCTTTTATAATCCCCTAAATTAGTAATCCCTTCTGGTTCTATAAGACTTAAAAAAAAATTTCCAAAGATTTCATTTACATGTTTGACATATCACAGAGGATATTGATACTGTAGTTCCTGATTGCCCCACCCCCGTTATCACCCCCAATCTACTTCCCAGATAGCTTTGCAATTCCTTCAACACAAAACTCCCACCACTATACATTTGGAAGGAGTGTGAGAAAGACTGCAATTCTAATCCAAGAATTCACAACAACCCAGAAATAATAGCAATCCTGTGCTACATGTATTAAGAGCTATTTGTTCAAAATATGTAATACAAGGTTGGATGCTCTTCTTGCAGCGGGGATGGTAGTTCATAGAGAAAGAGAAGGGGAAGGACATGCCTGACATCACCCCCCCTCCCTTCTCCAGAACGAGAAACTCACAGATTGGAAAAGAGAGCCCAATCAGGCAATCATGCCAAGATTTTAGCCCTCCTCCTGGCACTTTTTGTATACATATTCAGGAGTCACTCAAGCAGCTGCAGCATATTAATTCCAGTAGTTTTGACAGGCGCTGCCACAGGACTGCGACTCGGTGCATTGTCCCTTCGTTCCGCGTTCACTTACCTAGCCAGCAAGAGTGAACGCTGTTTGGCAGCATGGACTTGTCATGGAGAAGCAATGCCTAATAGATTCAGTGGAGCAGTTTGCTTGTTTTTCTTCTTCCCTTCCTCTTCTTTGCAATTCAATATTGAAAGCAGGCAGCACCATGTTACAGGCTGAACAGTCTGAATCAGAGTTGCAGCTTGGCACAGTTCTTCAAGACTGAATGAGCAAAGGATTTTTTTTTTCTTGCCAAAGCAGCCAAAACAAATATCACGTTGCATTTGTAGAGATTTCGTTAATATAAGTTGCTCTGGAAACATGGCTCAGCAAACAACAAGCCCAGACACCTTGATTGTACCTGAAGTTGACAATACACACTGTCAAAATCCATGGCTTAATGAGGATCTTGTGAAAACCCTGAGGGAAAACCTGTTGCAGCATGAAAAACTCAAGATATCCCAGAAATCTTCATCAATTTCGCCGAAGTTGTCACCCATCATTTCTCCCAGAAATTCACCAAGACTGTTGCGCAGGATGCTTTTGAATAGCAACATACCAAAACAGCGCCGGTTCACTGTGGCACATACCTGGTAAGACCTGAATTGTATCCACTCTCCCCTCACCCTTTCCGATTTTGGGGAGTAATGTTGCAGTTTTGTAATCCAAGATTCCTTTCTCTCAAGCCCCTCAAACCCCAGATTTGATATCCTTAATAATAGCAATAGCAATTAGACATGAAATCTTGTTCCATTACAGTCAAACTACTTCTGATATTAAATTGACTGAAGCAAATGCTACTCCAGGAAACAGGAAGGAAAAGCAGTAGGGCTGCCAAAACTGCATTTACTTTTTTGTCGCTTTCAAAGGACACTTTGTTCCCTTCGTCAGCTCTCTGGCAGATTTTATTTATGTGAAGAGCCTGGAAAAAAAAAGAATATTTATCTGACTTACCCTTAAATGATAAAATGATAACTTCCTTTTCTCCCCCCCCCCCCACCATGTTAGGTGGGCATAGAGAAACAGTGTCTCATGTTGCAATTGCAAACCTCTTAAAGAGGATATTATTAGATCTGCCTCTCCATCAAATATAGATAGAGGAAGAGATGTAGAGCAAACATGAATTCCAGGCAGCTTGTTTTCAGATAACTGCTATGAAAAGGTGGTGGTGGGGGGGGAACTCTGCTTTTTCAATAGAAAAATCTATTAACTGTATTGTAATTATGGACTGGGCAGAATCAGTGTGATTCGTTTGTACAGATGTATTTATCAGTTTTGTTGAACTGACTGCCATATTTATTTCTTTTCTAGTAAAATTTATTCTGAAGGGTCCTTGGTGCTGTCTGAGCTTGCTTGTTTTCTGGCAGATATTTCATTATCCAAACTAGGTAACATCATCAGTGCTAGTAAGAAGTGCAGTTTGCTGTCAGTTTATATCCTAGTGGCTCGCCCTGTCAGTGTTGGTGGGGTGGTCTTTGAGATTCCTCGGTTGGGCTGTTTGCTGTTGGCTTCTTTGGCAGTTTCTTGATTGGGGTGTTGTTTATTTGATTGTTGTTCTGATGTTAATCTTGGAGTTAATCTGTGCTGATCTGATTGCTAAATAAATCTATTCTTTAGCTATAACTCTCAGAATTGGCTTCTCTAATGAAGGTTTTGATAGCTTTTTATATTTTTGCTTGCTTTGAATTTTGTTTCCTGGAGTAAATAAAATAAATGTGAAGCTGAAAACAGTATTGCAATAGGGATAGAGTATTCTCTGTATGCTCTTCATAGAATATTACTTTTTCACATTAATATTCAAGTCATTACCTGAGGAAGAATGCTTTAGTCCACAGCAGGTGTAACCAACAGACTGCTTGTGTCCCCATCTTATTTTCGCCGTCCTTTACAACTCTCAACTGTGCTACTAGAATGCATGACACATTTGCAGTCTTTTTTCAGTGCTACTCTTGTGAGAATCGTCTAAAAGAAAACAATGCCTAAAGAGTGTGTTGAGCCTTTGATAATTTCAATACTCCCAAAGTCCACAAAAACCAATAAAATAGCTATAAAATTTGATCCAGCCTTTCAAGTAATTGTCATGTATCACCACCATCTGGTCCTAAAACAAGATAGAAATACAAAACTTTTCAGTCATGGCTAAAAAGGGTTAGCTACCAATAGATTATATAATGTCTGTTACCCAAGCCATGTTTTTGCTCTAGTTTGTTAAATAAACTACAAATGCTTGGTTTGCACAGGATGTTAAGCAACAACCATGGCTTACAAAGTACAATAGCTGGGTTCCTGCAACACACCAACCTTAAATCATACAAAGTACACTATAGTTTAGCATGAATGTGGAGCTGGAGTCACAGATTGTCTCTCCTTGCTATGAGGAGTAACAAAAGGCAATGCCTCCTTAAAACATTCAGTACATGTTGAGACTAAACAAATCTCTGTTGAAAAGTGTTTCAATTTATGTAGCTAGAATTTCTTGTCTACTATTGAAATATAATTGGGCATGATTACAAAATATATAAATTATATTTCTTTGTTATCACACTTTTTCCAATCTTTTTCCAAATACCAATTGGGATACTTCTTATTTCATGTATTTCATACCCTGGCAATAATTCTATTTTTTTCTCTCTCTTTCTGATAAGGCATGGAAACTGAGACTATTGGTATTTAAAAAATGGAATTCAGTGTGAAGGGATTGGGTGTTTCCTTTGGGGCTAGAATTACCAGCGGAATCAATGATGGGAGTTGAAATATATTTCATTTGGAAAACATCAGAATAGGAAAAGTTACCCTGGATAGTTCTTCCATGTGATGAGAATTAACATTCATACATAAATGTTTTGGACTTAATTGTAGAATGAGCAAGGTTCCTAGATCCTAATAATCTTGTGGTACATATGTCAAAAGGAATTTTTGGTGGCAATACCTACTAACTTCAGAGCATGTGACTGGAACCTATTGTTAATAATAATTTCACTTCTACATAAGCCTGTTCAGTCTAGGCTTATATGAAGATTTCACACTGAAAAGCCACATTGCAGCTTTCTTCAAACTACTAGTATCCTTCAAAACCAGTGCTTTTTTTGTAAAAAAAAAAAAAAAAAAAAAGGTGCCGGAACTCACACACGTCATACAACCCGCCTTGCCTACCCTACAAGGTTCCATCCAAAAAAGGTGCCGGAACTCCGTTCTGGGCATTCTATGACAAAAAAAGCCCCGTTCAAAACTATTGGCGATCATGCCAGCTGGAAAGAATGAGAATTCAATTCTCTACATCTGAAATGCTCTAGTTGGAAAAGAGCATTCAAACGTCCCATTGGTAATCTGGAGACTTGATTACTTCTATTCCCAACATACTATATTTTACAACTTCTCTTTCAAGTTCAACATTCCATTCACACTGTTTATCTTGAAGTCTGAAATCTGTTTAAAATTCTGATTCAGTGTTAGAAGATATTTATAAGGAAAGATTAGCTTCTTATTTTGAGCTATTTATATAGGAAGCTCCAAATTTCTATTAAAAGAATAATGCCTAAACCACTGTTCTTTGCCCATGGCACTGTGCAAAGATCAGTTTTAAAGTTTTTCATTAGATATTTTTGATTGTTTTTTTTCTTTCTCAGGAGCAGCCTTCTCTATTCTGGTTCTCTAGTACTGGAGCTATATCTCTGAGAATTCCCAGCTGTGCGTGCAGCAGTGGGAAAAATTTTGGTCCTAAAGCATTTGAAGGACACCCAGCTGGAGGCAGGCTGTTTAGACGTTCTTGACTATATTACTCATCTGTAAAAAGAGGAAAATAATCCACAGACTGTTTTCTGGAAGAAATTACATTTGTAGAGTTGTTTCTTGCGGGCTTCCATTTTCTGTGGGTTTCTATTTCCTAAATGCTCCAATTTTTGTATTCTGCATTGCTTTCCAATGATGAAAGTAAATTGATTTTCAAAAACAATTTGTGATGTCTTAGGGAGAAAGACAATATTCCAATATTGGCCAATATTCCCTTAGATAAGTTATGTTTTTCATTATAATGACATTATAAATGTGATTAGGTATATGACATTCAATAGCTTCTCAATGAAATATATCTACCACAAGACAGGGTTGTTAATCTATAGCAGACATGTCAAACTCGCAACATCACATGACGTCGCATGACGTCTCTGAACTTTTTCCCCATTGCTGTCAATGGGGTGGGCGCAGTTTCCTTGTGACGCGTCCAGCTCGCAGGCCGGCAGTTTGACACCCCTGATCTATAGGAACTGACTACATTGGACAATATATCTATAGTATGCAAATTCAATATGGCCTGAGACCTCACTTCAAGAATTTTTTCTTGGAAGAATCTTTTTTGCTACATGAAATACTAGGCTCTATTTTCAGCAGCTTCCCTCCCTTTCTTTCTTTTTCTTTCTCTCACCTGTTCTGCCATTGTTTAAAAGATGTTGGGGAAAGCGTGTTGCAAAATTTGTAATATATTCTAATTGATATTGTCAGTGTAGTTGATCTCTGAATTTGAAGAAAGAATGTATATCTCAAAATGAATGGTAACATTAATAAAACTTGGTTAGTATTTTGTTCTTTTAAGATTGAAAAAAATACCCAGATGGTTAAGAGATTATTATAAAACAAATAGCTGTTCTTCAAAGTCTTTTCAACACAACACATTTTCTAAGGTGCTTTGATTACTGATGTTGTAGGTGTTACTAATGAGTCACAGACTATGTGTGGAAATTTTTCATCACAGAGTTTGCATTTTGTTACGATGTTAGATATACAGAATATTTTGAAGGACTTTATCTTAAGGCACAATGTTGTAAGCTTTGTTGGACTATAGGTTAAAAAAAAGCTTTTAATTATTTATTTGAAAGTGTCTGCCTCCCTTAGGTTTGTAATGAACCTTATTTTATATACTTGTAAATTTTGGGGACTTCCTTGTAAATATTTTCTCTATTTGAATTTTTTTTAAAAAAAAAAAAAAATCCTAACACAGATCTATTTTTGGAGCTCAAGTTCACCTTTGGAATGAATCAGAGGTAGTCAATTTGTGGTCCTTAGACCTTATCAATGTCTGTTAATATCAGAACATTCTGAAATTTATGTTCCTTCCCCTGCAGTGAGAATAAGGTGTCAGAAAAAAAAGAGGGATAGTATAATTTTGGAGGTCACAGTAAAAGGAATATCACTGACTCTACTCAGTTTGATCTCTGGGCTAGGTTCAGTCTCTTCCATCATGAGTGTGATACTCCCATTATTGTACAGTGGTACCTCAGTACACTTCGTTAATTGGTTCTGGGAGGTGTGATGAGTACCAAAAATGAGTACAAAACCATTTTTTCCCATAAGGAATAATATAGTGAGTCACAAGACAGCTGACACTGACAGGTTCTAGCTTGTGCATTGAGTACCAAACAAATAATGAGTACCAGGACAAAATTTTCATGTCAAAATGCATTGAGTACCAAATTTGATGAGTTTCAAAGCAGTTGAGTACCAAGGTACCACTGTACGGGGAATGTATCATTTATAGAATAATATGAATCTCTTTGATCTATACCAGGGGTAGGCAACCTTGGCTCTTTTATGACTCGTG